ATTTTAAAGTAGAAAACCTTTTGTTGATAGGGCTTTGTTCAATTCAGTGCATGTACCAAGCATTATTTGCTATAGGTGATAAATTAGCTTTGAACCAGCTATAATTCATAAATGGTTATTTCTGACTGATTTATGGGAAATCTCTTTAATTGCGATAGCAAAAAGACATTGAAGTAGCAAGAAGTAGAATATAAAACAGCCTGAGGGTTGAAAAAGGACAGACACGTGTGCCCTACAATTAATAGAAATGTATCATAATCGCATATGTTTTACTCATACCTAGTATATTTTTGATCGTGCCAGTTAATCTTTACAACTTTGAATAATAGATATTAATATGATTCCTATCTCATTTAGGAGGAAGGAATTGAGTGTCCCGTTACTTTATTTTTATTATGTTTTAAATATGTTTATATATTGCTTATTGTGAGCCAATAACTTTATATATGGTATGTGACAGTGCTAACACAAACCTTTGAGTAGATAACACTGTTAATCCCTTTTCACAGATGGGGAAAGTGTAGTATAAAGAAGTGAAGTAACTTTCCCAATTGTAGGGTCTTGGAGGTTCAGCAGGCATATAAATTCAGGAAGTCTCATACTAGAGCCTTCTCTCTTGACCCCTGGCCATGGCTGCCTTTGCTATTTCATATTCTAAAGAGAAAAAGGTAGCAAACGGCAAAGGTCTTATCTTCTCCACATCTGTGCTATTTCCAGTCAACCAGTCATTTCAGCCTGTGTTGCCAGAGACCCTAGGACTCTGAAGAGAGTCATGGGGTGGAAGGTAGGAGGAGAAATGGAGGAGCAGGGCCCTGGAACCCCAATCTTAAAAACACCAATCAGGGGGCTGGCCCGGTGGCCTAGTGGTCGAGTTCATGTGCTCTGCTTCAGAGGCCCAGGGTTCATGGGTTCAGATCTCGGGTGCAGACCTATGCACCACTTATCAAGCTGTGCTGTGGCAGGCATCCCACATATAAGGTGGAGGAAGATGGGCGTGGATGTTAGCCCAGGACCAATCTTCCTCAACAAAAAGAGGAGGATTGGCAATAGATATTAGCTCAGGGCTAATCTTCTTCACCAAAAACAAATAAACAAACAAACAAAAAGCACCAATCAGTTAATATATCAGAGATTTTATGTACTATTCTTCTTCTTTTTTTTAATGCCCAATTACTTTAAGGAAGTATGTGTTGGGGAGAGGGGGGTGTATGTAAAATTACACTAAATCACATGAATGAAAATTTTCAGTGCTCATGATCACTGGAAATTTAATTAGCATTCTACTTAAAATGGAAATCTACAAGGTTATGTTTCAAATTACAATGAAAGATAACTCCTAATCTAACTCAGGGTATCAAGCCTACCAACCACATTGTTGTCAGAACATAAATGGGACAATGGAATAGACCTATAAAGCCATCAACAGGATGAATATGATGAGCAGGGCCCTGCTATTTAGTGATTAGTTGTTTTAAAATGTAGATTTTATTATTATTCAGGTATGGTGAGGCCAACAGATCAGGAGACAACTGCCATTGAAAAGATATTTCTTTACTCACAAGCCATGACTCATAGGGGTCACATGGGGAAGCATCAGGGCTGGTTAGGAGGTAGGAGGAGCCAAGGGAAAACATGAGCAAGAGCCTTTCTTGTAGTTTTTGAAAGAAGGCAAGGCAAGCAGGCTTAGGATAGGCTCGGATGAATAATTTCAGCAGGTTCTGGAACCTAGGGGCTGTCCCTAGTCGCCTAGAATAAAGTCGTCCCAAGTTGTCCCTGGTATCAAGCCCTGTGATGAGGGATAGTGGACCAAGAGTCTTGTGAGAACTCAATAAAGGAGGTGGTTTTGGTTCAGACTTCAGGTGCTTTGAATCTGAAAGGTGTGCTTATGGGCAAGTCTCTTACTATTTCTAGGAATTGGCTAGCCCTTGGAGGGACAGTCTCTCCAGAATCAGCAAAGCCCCACATATCAAAACATAAGAAATATAGAAAATAAAAAGGCAATGATTATTACATTAGTACACATCACTACACATATGCAAAGAGTTATAGTTAGATATTAACTGTTTTGCACATTTTCAACAGCCATATTATTTAGTTCCCACAGCATGCCAGGGACAGTGTTGACAGTAGGCTAAGAAGACACCATCAGACATGGCCTCTGTCCTCACGGAGCTCACAGGCTAGTGGAGGAAACAGACCCAGAGACAAATGATCATAGGACTGGGTGCTGTAAAAAGTTAACGTAGAGCCGCAACAGCCCCAAGGAAGGAAGCAAGTCGGTCTCCCCAGGAAGGCCGGAGAAAGAAACAGTAACTCAGAACCTATTAGTCAAGATTTTTTGCTGCCATAGGGAAGGAGACAAAAACAAGCCTCTGAAGCCAGAAAGCAGTTTATGACTTTAAACTTCACCTTCTTGAGACTCAGGTCCCTTTCAGTGGTTTTGTGAATGTGAGTATATGCTTCAGGATTGATAATGACAGTTGCTTTTTCTCAGTAAGGCATCTCCTATTATTAGAAAAGAGCCTCTTCTCCACCTCGTGTACTCTATGAAAATGCAGGTATTCACAAATGCTAATTAACATTGAGAATCGCAGCACTATATCCTAAAAAGGAACCAGCCCTTCTGTCTTCAAACCCTTGAGTGGTGGGATGGGTATGGAAGTGATGGCTAAGAAACTGGACCTGTCTCTGGCATTGACTTCTCTCTAAGGCTCACTTGGAACAAGTGGAAGATCTTCCAAATTGTTCTCATTGCTACTGGTTTCTCCCAAAGCTTTTCTCTCTCCCATATTAGTCCAATATTATCATTCTTAAAAACAAAGCTGATGATAGCGTTTCTTTCTAAAAACAAAGCATGTCCCCTGCGGGATAAAATGGAGACTCTTAAGTTTGACATAACCAACTCTTAACAGTCTGGACCTGATCTCATCCCAGCTTCTTTTCTATTCCCTTCCCCAAGCTTTCCATTCTCCTGCCACAGGGAACTTTTGACTGTTCCCTGGATGTACTAGCATCTTTCATGTGTCTTTGTCTTGGCTCAGGCTGGTCCCTCTGCCTGAAATGCTCTTCTTTCCTTTCTTTATCAACTTCTTCTACTAAACCTAGATCAGATGACCTTTCTCTTTGAAAATCCCCTGATTTACCAGCATGATTAAGTTGCCCTGACTTCAGTGCCCTTGTGTCAACGTGGCCTGGTCTCATAGCAATGAACATGTGTTATTGCACTTCATCTGTTTGCCTGTCTGTCTCACCTTTTGAATTATAATTTACTCAGGGTTAAGGATTATATCCTTTATCATTATATGCCCAGTACTTAGCAAAATGTCTGGATAAGGACAACAACAAAAACAATTATAATAAGAATAATGTCTAACATGTATTGAGTTCTCACAATGTGGGAGACATTATTCTATGCCCTTTATCTGCATTAACTAATTTTATACTCACAACAACATTAAGGGAAATATTATATTACCCTTATTATTACCCTTAAGTGTAATATTATCATTCCCATTTTGCAAGTGGGGAGAATGATTTATAGAGAGGATAGGTAACTTACCCAAGATAATACATAGTAAGTACTAAATTAGTGCCTTTTTGAATTGGAATGTGGTGAGCGTCCTGGCCCTTTTTATTTTCTTTCCAAGAGAGTCATAGAAGAGGCACTGTTTACTGAGATGAGAGATTTGCAAAAGTCATTATACAGGTGCCCAATCCATGACAAGCCAGTTGAGTGGGGCATATAATTGGTAACACAAGTTCCTTTGGAATCCTCCTTGTGCTGGAAGAAATGCAGAAAGTGAGTTATTTCCCGTCCTACAAATATACTTAAAACAGTAAGACTAGGGACACAAGACATAATAATTTTGTTATACTAAGATCTTTTCTGTAAATAAAAATTATGTTTCATGGGAAATTACTTAATTTGTGGTATGTCTCCCTATAGGTAGCCAATGGCTATATTATAACGAGTTTTGCTATATGAGAATCTCTAAAAGTTTATGTGCTTTTATGCATGTCACTATTCCAGTGTATCTTCACAGGTACCATAAATTAAGTTGACAGTGTTTACAGCTGAGGTCACCCCGAAAGGAAAGGTATTTTAAAGAAATTAATTGTGAAAAATATTTGCTTTTGCCATCATTATTGCAAAAACTCTTTCATGGATTATTTGAGATTATGCGCTCCTGGACCAACCAGATGAATGTCTGAGTCCTGGTTCTGTATTTACTAACATGTGATTTCATGCATGTTACTTCTCCTGTGATTAAATTTCTTCATCTTGAAAATGGAGACAATAACAGTTCCTACCTCAGGCAAGCGCTATAAGGATTAGAAAGGATTAAGGCCAGCTTCGTGGGCTTGCAACCTGTGCAATTGCAAAGGGCCCCATACTCAGAAGGGCCCATGCTTGGCTTAACGCTCTATTGTTACTGATTTGAAATTCATGATTTTTTAACAAGGCATCCCACATTTTCATTTTGCACTGGGCCCCACAATTATGTAGCCAATCCTGAATAGGACTGTTCGTGAAGTCTACAGCCCACAGTGCCTGGCACATAGAGTAAGTCTCAATAAAATGTCAGCTATTACTAGTTTTGCAAAGGAGCTTTTACTCTGTTGGATGTAGCTCCCAAATCCTATTTTTCTGAACTTTTTCAATCTGGTCTGGACTTTGAACCTAATGGTGGGGTATGTCTCATAAGTCCTCATGCATTCGGGTCACACTTGGTTGGTAAACACTCCATTAACATCCTCTGCCTCATTCTTCCATTTCTCTGTGATTGCACATCTGATGGAATATGGACTGTGCATGGCTGCTAATTTCAAGTACAGAAGCATTCTTTATAAACATGAGACACATCACTCAATAAAGGACATAAGATTTGTTGTTTTCCTAGTCTGAGAAATGATGGCTTTAGCTGATACACTGACATTGCTCCAGAAAGACATTTGAGGAGAACTAACACTCTTTTCTGCTCTTCTTATATTGCAGACTATTTGAACTCCAGAAGGACCAAAACCAGATAAATTATGAATGTTGAACAAGATGACCTTACATCCACAGCAGATAATGATAGGTCCTAGGTTTAACAGGGCCCTATTTGACCCCCTGCTTGTGGTGCTGCTGGCTCTTCAACTCCTTGTGGTGGCTGGTCTGGTGCGGGCTCAAACCTGCCCTTCAGTCTGCTCCTGCAGCAACCAGTTCAGCAAAGTGATTTGCGTTCGGAAAAACTTACGTGAGGTTCCAGATGGCATCTCCACCAACACTCGGCTGCTGAACCTCCATGAGAACCAAATCCAGATCATCAAAGTGAACAGCTTCAAGCACTTGAGGCACCTGGAAATCCTCCAGTTGAGTAGGAATCACATTAGAACAATTGAAATTGGGGCCTTCAATGGTCTGGCAAACCTCAACACCCTGGAACTCTTTGACAATCGTCTCACTACCATCCCGAATGGAGCTTTTGTATATTTGTCTAAATTGAAGGAGCTCTGGTTGAGAAACAACCCCATTGAAAGCATCCCTTCTTATGCTTTTAACAGAATCCCTTCTTTGCGCCGATTAGACTTAGGGGAATTGAAAAGGCTTTCATACATCTCAGAAGGTGCCTTTGAAGGTCTGTCCAACTTGAGATATTTGAACCTTGCCATGTGCAACCTCCGGGAAATCCCTAATCTTACGCCGCTCGTAAAACTAGATGAGCTGGATCTTTCTGGGAATCATTTGTCTGCCATCAGGCCTGGCTCTTTCCAGGGACTGATGCACCTTCAAAAACTGTGGATGATACAGTCTCAGATTCAAGTGATTGAACGGAATGCCTTTGATAACCTTCAGTCACTCGTGGAGATAAACCTGGCGCACAACAATCTGACATTACTGCCTCATGACCTCTTCACGCCCTTGCATCATCTAGAGCGGATACACTTACATCACAACCCTTGGAACTGCAACTGTGACATACTGTGGCTCAGCTGGTGGATAAAAGACATGGCCCCCTCCAACACAGCTTGTTGTGCCCGGTGTAACACCCCTCCCAATCTGAAAGGGAGGTACATTGGGGAGCTCGACCAGAATTATTTCACATGCTATGCTCCTGTGATTGTGGAGCCCCCAGCAGATCTCAATGTCACTGAAGGCATGGCAGCTGAGCTGAAATGCAGGGCCTCCACGTCCCTAACCTCTGTATCCTGGATTACTCCAAATGGAACAGTCATGACACACGGGGCGTACAAAGTGCGGATAGCTGTGCTCAGCGATGGCACATTAAATTTCACGAATGTAACCGTGCAAGATACGGGCATGTATACATGTATGGTGAGTAATTCCGTTGGAAATACCACTGCTTCAGCCACCCTGAATGTTACTGCAGCAACCACTACTCCTTTCTCTTACTTTTCAACTGTCACAGTAGAGACTATGGAACCTTCTCAGGATGAGGCACGGACCACAGATAACAACGTGGGCCCCACTCCAGTGATTGACTGGGAGACCACCAACGTGACCACCTCTCTCACGTCCCAGAGCACAAGGTCGACAGAAAAAACATTCACCATCCCAGTGACTGACATAAACAGTGGGATCCCGGGAATTGATGAGGTCATGAAGACTACCAAAATTATCATTGGCTGTTTCGTGGCCATCACACTCATGGCTGCGGTGATGCTGGTCATTTTCTACAAGATGAGGAAGCAGCACCATCGGCAAAACCACCACGCCCCAACAAGGACTGTTGAAATCATTAATGTGGATGATGAGATTACAGGAGATACACCCATGGAAAGCCACCTGCCCATGCCTGCTATTGAGCATGAGCACCTAAATCACTATAACTCTTATAAATCTCCCTTCAACCACACAACAACAGTTAACACAATAAATTCAATACACAGTTCAGTGCATGAACCGTTATTGATCCGAATGAACTCTAAAGACAATGTACAAGAGACTCAAATTTAAAACATTTACAGAGTTATGGAAAACAAACAATCAAAAAAAAGACAATTTGTTAAAAATGACACAAATGACTGGGCTAAATCTACTGTTTCAAAAAAGTGTCTTTACAAAAAAAACAAAAAAGAAAAGAAATTTATTTATTAAAAATTCTATTGTGATCTAAAGCAGACAAAATTATGTGTATTCCTCAGAACCTGTTTTTGCTGCACTTACTTACTATTTTCCCACATCTCGTCCCTGCCTTCCCCGATTGCCATATTTTTCATAGGAGATCTCAATTCCCTAAAGAACTGGTCTAGGAAATTTTGTAAGAATTCTGTTATACTTTGAGATTTTTATGGTGAATTCTAGTGGTGAGATCCAGTCTATTTTGTCTTTATTGCTTTTTTTCCTCTTTTCTTTTTTTTTCCCCCTCATGCCCTTATGAAGTAGTCCAATGGGGAATGCATATTAGAAATAGATTTTTAAGAGAGAACAAGGAAAAAAATGCAAGATCTTATATTTTTCTTGTAATGACCTGTTCTGTATTTATGAGGAGGACCGTTCAATGGAAAAGGGAAAAAAAAGTAAGCAAACAACAGATTAATTTACATATGAGCATCTATAAAACCCATGATCTTTTAAACAACTCTAGAACCAGAATTTGTAGTTCAAAAGCTAAAAATAAGATTATAAATAAAATATTGTTGGTTTTTCTGTACCTGGAGACAACTCATTTGTAGTATGGCTCAAATGTGAGAAACTTGATGGTAATTAGATTTCGTACCTTCTAAGAAAGAAAATTCTACAGTATTCTTCAGTCACAGCATTCATCTCTAGAGGTCTTGTTTAATTAGTTGACTTGAGTTTTGGATCTATATTCAAGGATGCTGTGTTATTTTTTCCTTCTCATCAGGGCTACCCTTTGTAGAATGCTCAGATTAAAAAAATAACGATTTTGTGTAGTAAATTCCATTCCTCTTGGAAGAAAGCTTCAGTATAATTTGGTCACTGTCCCCTAAATAAAATTCTACTGGCTAGATGAAGTATGGTCACAGAATGCAAAGGTATTCTAAATTATCCAAGTTGAAAAGTCATTTTTGGTGCTGAGTATCAGCAAATTTAGTTCAATTCAACAATAATTATTGAAGAACTACCATGTGTTAAACACTGATTCTAGTGTTGTGGACACACAATTGACAAAACCTGGTTCCTGCCCTTGAATCATTCATGGTCTATATGAAATAGGATTTGAGAAGCATCAGTTTATTATTGTGGGCCAGCTCTAATTGTCAGGTGGAAGGCTGCAAACTGGGACCCTAGAGTTTCAAAATATCAGGTTACTGTTATTCCAGAGACCTCCTTGGTTCAGTTTCTTCCATCCTTCTGGAAGAGCTGACTCTCTTCTTCCAAATGCAGATTGCAGAGCTGTAAAGAAGTATGAGAATGAGTTTGCTGTGATGGATGGATGTATATGAAGAAATGCTAATACATGGGTAATTCACTAAAGGTACATTAAGGACCTGGAGAAATTTTAGGTATGAGAACATATGCTAGCTTTCAAGTAAAAAAGGAACTTGCTGCTCATTGGCACCTCGGCACTCTGCTAATACTTTAATATAGTATGTGAAGGACTTCCGTCTTTATCTATGTGCACACATCTTATTCATGGCCCTTGAAACCTACCACCTTGTTGGTGAAACAATGGTTGGCCAAGCTAGAGAAAACTACAGCTCATAATGATGAGCAGCGTGGCCACTCACTCTTCACTCTGCGGGCTAGACCTCACACCAGGGTTTTGTGCTGTCCAGGTGTGAAAAGCCAATCATTACTAGCAAAGCAGGTCAGAGAAATGGAAGGGAGGGATAGCAACGGAATGAGACCACACGAGGGTCTTGCCTCTATTTGTCGATCACTAATTCTCTAGTGGCTTTTTCCTCTCTCATTTTCTTCTTCCCTTTGTTAGGAATATAGTTCACATTTGCTTTTACTGTGGAGAAGATCCAAGAAAAAAGAAAACACATATTGGCTGTCATTTGTCAAGCTATTCAGTATCGAATGTACTTAATATTATTCCCAAGCTGCAAATCACAAAACAAATAACCCACCAAGGAATATCAAGTGAGTGATAGTACAAAGAATGATATAAATCAAGAGGGAAGAGAATCTTGCCTTCTCTACTTGGTTTGTGTTCACCGAGCTCTGTCTTTGCTGACTCTAAATCTTCTTTCATTTTGAGCTTATAATTCTTATGGAGTTAGTCCCAGCACACAATTCCCCTTGACTGTGAAGGGTGGCTGAACAGTTAGATAAATTCTGCTAAGCAGAATGAAAGGTGAACTCGAACTAAAAAATTCAGGTAAGAAATGAAAGGATATAATTCAAGTCTTGTAGAAGATTACAATTGCCCTAATGAATACATTTTAGAAAAAAAAATATTGATAAAAAATTGGTTAAGCCAAACTTGACTATCACAGTAAATTTAGAAATGGTTTTGTCTAAAGGTCCTCGTTGAAGGTTTTGGAGTTGAAGGCTGGAGTGCTATAAATGTATTACGTACAGGACACTAAGACAAATTCTAGATGTTTATGATTAGCAGTGTCTGTTTGCTCTGCATAATGTACTTGGTTTTTGGCCCCTCAGTACGGTAGCTGCACTGATGTGTTAGAGACCATCACACACTGTGGGTGTCCTCGGTTCAACAGAAAGCCCATGTGACTCCTTAAACATCTGGTATATCCTTGCACCAAAAGACAATTCTGGTCCATCACTCTTTTTATTCTATCTGAAGGCAGCCATGTGGCAGTATTCTTAAATATTTATGTGCCAAAATTATGCCATTTACCAAGTTAAGGTAACCTCATGATAATTTTAGTGTATATATATATATATATACTACTAAAGGTATGCAGTTTGCTTTGGGGAAACATCAAGGATGCTTTAGAAAGAAGATTCTCCAATACTTTTAATACTTTTTCTATTCAAGAGTCTTACTTTTATACCCCTAGAAAAGACCTCGATCTCCTAAATTGTTTTGAGCATGTTCAAATATTTGCATCGGAAAAGTACTAGAAGGATTTGGTATAGTTCACACACATGCACCTGATATACATTTAATCATTTTCCCTCATATTCTGAATCTTCTGGAATCAAGTATCATCTTTTCTAAAGGTTGAAATCGGTCATTTGACCTTGGCCCTGGTCAATGATTTTTTGAGGAAGAAAATGTTGCTAGTTCATGATTGCTCTTAGGCCTTATAATCAAAGAGTTAAAAATCAGGACATTATTGAGACCTGCATACTATGAAATTCTGAATATAGATCTGCTGGAAAATAACTTGACAATGGAAGTGTTATTTATATGGGAGAAAGAAAAGAAGGCATTTTTAGAATGATATTTACCAAAACGTGAAAAAAGTATTAAGTAGATAGCCCCATCCAACATTTCTAAGGTAAAATTGATCAAGGGGTAAAAAAAAACCCTGAATCTTTTATTCTTTTGGGATAATCTTCAAGATAATTACAGAAGAATAAGAGTCAGATGAGTGCTTATGTATGCAGGGTGGTGCTCTGAAGCAATGTAATTTTTACATAAAATGTTCAATTGTTTAGTGGGTGCTTCAACTTACTAGTTTTAATAAAGATATTGAAGATAATGATATCGTGAAATATCCCAGGTGTAACACGTGAATGCCTGAGTGAAGGCATCCCTTCTAGGAAGCCATTCTTCTGTTTCTCGTAAAATATAGTGGCACAGAGTCAAATCTGTTATGAGAATATCTACCCCCAAACTACAGATACACATCCTTATGTTTGATTAGAATGTGATTTCTGTACAAAAGCTATTTCAGCCAAAAAAATTCTAAATAGTTGCCTTAAAAATCCAGATACCGGGGTCGGCCCGGTGGCGCAAGCGGTTAAGTGCGCGCGCTCCGCTGCGGGGTTCGCTGGTTCGGATCCCGGGCGCGCACCGACGCACTGCTTGGCAAGCCATGCTGTGGCGGCGTCCCATATAAAGTGGAGGAAGATGGGCACAGATGTTAGCCCAGGGCCGTCTTCCTCAGCAAAAAAAGAGGAGGATTGGCGGATGTTAGCACAGGGCTGATCTCCTCACAAAAAAAAAAAAAAAAAAATCCAGATACCTTCTTTTTTTCTCTTCGGCCATAAGAAGAAATATGAATTTCTAAAAACTCTGTATTCGATAGAAAGCAGCTGTAACACCATTGGCTTCCCATGCTCTATCAGGATACAAAATAAGATACATCTGACTCTATGAGAGAAAAAAGAAATCTCCTAGAATTAATGATAGTACACTGTCAATTAAGATCCAAATTTAGATGCTGAATGAAGCATTCTACAAAACATACCAGTTCATGTCATTTTTTTTCTTCAAGTGCTTCCAGCAAAACTTCTGAGATTTCAACCTTTCTTAACATTATTTGAGAAATATATAAAATTATGTATAAAATTAGATAATTAAGTTGTATAACAACTGTTCAGCAGTAGTAAGTACAACTACAGTTTATTTTGCTTTTGCCCTGGATAAATACAAAGAAAAGAAAGAGGGAGGGAGGGAGGTTGCTGTAAGACAGACAATAAATGAAGTAGTGAATGAAGAAATGAATAAATGAAGAATGAATTTTAATGAAAGTACATGATTTTGGAAAAATCCGTCCATTTTGTAAATTTTATGAACAGTAAACAAGGATACTCATATATATCTTGTGCAAAATACAGAAAGCAAGGACCTCTGAAACTCCAGATTATGAAGCCTTATCTTTCAATATTTGGTCCAGCAATTTAATTTCATTTTCCAGGTTATTAATGCTGCACTTTATTACATATTTGATGTTGAATGGCTGAATTTGAACTTGTTAGAATTGCATCAATCCTGCCTTTATCTGGTTGGCAGAAGTAGTGAATATATGGCTTTTTACCCTTATGAAAGGGAAGATTCAATGTTGTTTGAAGGAGAGGGGTTGGTCTCTGTGGTGGCAATAGAACCCCCTCTGATTTATGTCCTCTAACCCTGAGAACTTGGCAGAATACCCACCTAGCTCAGCCCCAGGACATCATGACAGAAACCCATTATGGGAACTCCTAGCATTTATTATGTAGATATATCAGTAAGGCCTTTGAATGACAATTAGTAAATCTCCTTACTTCTCAGTGCTTAGTTCCACAT